GCTGCAGGCTCAGTTAAGGATGAAATTACTTACCTGAACCTGTCCCTTGCGGGTGCCACCATCTTGATCATGCTGCTCCTCTTAAACTCCTGGCACTTCAGCACCAGTAGCCAACGTCATTGCTGTACTTTCGCGCATGCAGGTCCACACCTATACAAATAGAAGGTTGCAAACCTGAATATCTGCATTAGATGGCATAACAACACATTATCATAAAAAAAGCTAGCAGTCCTTGACCATCAGAGAAATTTACTAAAGATCACTGGTAAACTGACACCAGACAGTTTGCTAGCTGTGGTTATTAAGACACTGTCCACAATCCCAACCAACACCACCCCAGAGACCAACAAGCTTATATATGCTCATGTATGCTAATATATGCCTCATATATGTCCTTCAAAAGCTTGACTACAAGATCAGCCTGAAAACGAAACAATACCCACCATGGAGACTAAGATTGGAAGCCAATGTAAATGCAACACATAAGGAAGTTAGTAAGCTGGATCAACTTCACATAAGTGGAAAGATCAAGGATAGATCCTCCCTACTGAGAAAATACATGGGTATACCATGGGCCCTGAAAGCAACTCAGCAAAGGCTGACAGCACTGGCAACCAGACGAAGCATATACACCAAATAAGCAGAGGCTAAAATAATAAATTCCCTGTTTACATTTAAGATGTATGCACAGTTGCAGGGTAACCACCACAAATCCACCCAAAACCTACCCAGAGCAGAGACTGAACAGTACTGAAAGAACATCTGGAAAAAAGAAGCATCACATAACACTAAGGTCCAGTGGCTAATAGACCTGAATGATCACTGCGTGCTTCTAGAACAGGGCGCATGCCTATGGATTAGTTGATAGAAGTACATAACAAATATAAACCTAATGCAAAGGCACCAATCAAATCGGGGGACACCTTTAAAATAGAGAGGCCTTACACAAGGTTAGTTTTGACTTGCACTGATCATCAGAAATGCAACACCAGTGATTCCTACAGATGCTATACAAACCGAACATCACAGTGCAAATTAATGTAGTTGTTCTGGTGTTTATAGCCTGTCTCTGCAGACATTTTAATGTAAGTAATAATCAATTTTTGTACTTTCGCGATGCAGAGAAAAGGCGGTGTTTACATTATTGCCTTGTAACACCTCCAGTTGCAGTCACTCAGACCACCACTAGAGGCGCTTTCTGGATCAGTGCTGCACAATATGCAGCACTGACGTTTAGCATCTTCACGCTCTGCATGGAGGTATTGAATGTTCCTCAACGAGGGGCATTGATTCAATGCAGCATAGTGTTTTGCTGCCCATGCGGAATAGCTTCCCAATGCTTTTCCAATTTTTTTCCAATTTTGATGATCTCAACAAAGGAGGCGTAGTGGGGGTGGGGACCGCCATGACAGATCAGCGCGGTGCTGGAATAAAGGTGAGTAAAATCACCTTTCCCTTCGCTGACAGGGGCCTAAACATCACTTTCACAGCTATAATGACAGGAATACATGTTGGTATTGCTGTCACTATAGTGTTCCATTAAAATAGCTGGAATTCTGTCTCTGAAACAGTTTCCAGTGTGCCATAGTGAGTTAGTAGACAGAAGTAAAAAATGGGGCACAGGTGATCAAGCACAATGTTTTCTGGACATCTTAGGTTTTTTCTTGGTCATTAGGCCTGGTTCCTGGCAGAGGGTTGTAAAGTAAAGAAGTAATCCCCATAATAGTAGGGGGATGAGAAGTGATTGTAAAATATAGATGTAATTAAAGTTATGAGTTGTGGAGAAAGAAGTCAAAACTTTGAGCCCGAAGAAAGGAGAGAGAAGTCAAGGAACACATTTGAGTATATTTATAAGTGGAGAAGATAAGTGAATTTATAAAATAATTGTGGTTGATCTGAACTAATATTTCAGAATGTGTAGACTATAGATGCAGACTGATATTTGTGATATGAGATAGTGTTGTGTATATACTGCATATAAAAACTGGCATGGAGGAAAACAGTCTGGAGAAAATCAGACTTGTAGGTCTCAATTCAATATTGTTGGATAAACTTTTTAAATAATTAAATTTTTTCTGATAAACTTTTAAAAATCAACATCTAAACAAATATCAAAATATTACAAAATTTAAATATTTTTCACGATATTAAATTATTTTTAAAGTTTACCCAAAAACTATGAAATCATTTGAAAAGCTTAGCCAACAATATCAATTTTAAGCCTTAGTTCTAAATTTCCACCAAGCACCCACAGAGAAGAAATCTATTTAAAATGGCTGCATTGCGGTTGATCATGTTGTGTTTTTTTACAGATGTTTGTAGCAATATTAATAAATGAGCCCAATTAAAGCACGCTATATGCTATATTATTTTAATGACCCTGTCGAGCATTATTCAGTATTACTGATAATGCCAGCATTTTTGCCGACTTTCTTTTCAATTTACATAGTATTATATCAGATTAGTACTGTTTTGTGTCAGTGAATAATCGCTATAAAATAAAATCAGATCTGTATTACTGTGTTTAAAGAATGTGAGAAAACTTCTACCAATTCAGAATTAGGCATGCTCTATTTTGTAGCCTTTCAATGACCTCCAGCAAACGTGTGACCCAGTTATGAGAGCCTCCTGTCCACATGTATAAACATGGCAGTTTTGAAACAGCATAGCAAAATTAAAAGCTAAATCGCCACGGAAAATGGAACAAATTGATGCATCCTAAAGGAATCACATAACTTCATAGCACATTTACAATATATTAAAGCTATGGCATGAATAAAGTAATGCATCGTTTTAATGAATACAATGTGCTTTATATGAAATAATTGTATGATTTGTCATTAAAAAAAAAAAATACATTTTAAAAAGGCTACACTAGTTTGTGAACAGATGGTCACTTCTGCTGTCTTAGTTCCTCTGTTTTCAAGCATGCCTATTTTATGCATGTTACAGTAAATTCTAATTAAAGTCTTTTTCGTAGCTAGTTATTATTAGAAGGATATTATGCACACTTATTGTTACACTACAAAAGACACTACAAGCTTTATATTTTACTAGATTACTTGCACATAGTGCATTGCATAGTTTAGAGAGGCCACTCAACTGTCTTGCTTTTGGTGAGAGAGTCCTGATTTTGGGGGTCCTGTTCCACTGTTCCTCTTCAGTTCCTTTGTGACCTACATCTGGGGAAACTAGGGAACAGCCCCTGGGCAGCATAGAGCAAGCATATCATCAGTGATCCATGCATGGTCCCGGAGTCTGGGGGCCTGTCAGTGGGTGAAAACACCCTCTATCTGTGGACCTGCCCATTATGGGCAATGCTAGTGATGCAGATATTGTCATTGGTAATGCCACCTCAGGACCCTGCCCACCCCTTTTCAGTTGCCTCCTCTTAATTGTTATGACGTATATTTTAGAACATAAATAATTTCTCTCTGTCTCTGCATGAAGTTTATTAAAGCTGCTAAAATGTACAAATATTTGCTGCATCTACAGCATTGGTAGTCAACCTGATCCCTACCGCCTACTAGTGGGCGGTTTGGGATTTCAGGTGGGTGATGGTGGGTTCTGCAGAAAATGCCTGGTGGGCCTCTATGGCCATGGAAAAAGGCCGGCAAGGAAGATCCTTTTATGTCCCCTGCCAGCCCATGCTGAGCCAGGCTTGCTGTAAGCCCTTTTGGGCTGGTGAGGAGATCATAGATCTCCCTCACCGGCTCGCTGATGCTTAGTTCCAGCAGACAGAGGGAAGGGCCTGGGTACAGTGCTGTGCTCACAGGAGGACAGAAGAGTCAACCTGCAACCAGAGGAGCTGCAGTCTAAAGTGAACATGCCACCACTGGACCACCAGGGCTTTTGCAGCATTATGTCCCCCATCCCTGGTAAAAGGTAGGAAGAAGGCAGGGGAGACATTGACATAGATTTTCACATTTCACCCACCTACACACAGCATAGACCCTATGCACCCTTTACACACAAACACACACTACACCTCTCACACACACACACACACACACTGCCCCCTCATACACTACAACACAAACACACGCACAGACATACTGCCCTCTCACACACACTGCACCCATCACACACAGCGCCACTCACACACACACTACACACAAACACACACACAAGCCTTCATAAACACACACACACACACAGCACCCCATTCACACACACACACATAGAAAAAAGTAGAATAGAAATTAGAAAAAAAAATAAAAAGGATAAATTAAAGTACATATTTTTTTATTAAACCATCCCTTCTAAAAAAAATTTTTTAAAAATCACACTTGCGCTATACAATGAGTGACTGCGGCACTGGTGGGCGGTAAGGAAATGTTACCATCAACAAGGATGCAAAGTGGGCGGTAGGTATTAAAAGGTTGACTATCCCTGATCTACAGTCTCACCATTTACTATATGTGCACAGATGTGCATGTTCTTTGTAACCTGTATGGACATTCCTATCATACATTTTTATTACAGGGCCTGTGCTTGAGTAATGCTTATGTGGGCAGCTAAGAGCTCAACTCATGTAGCATTCATATATAAACTGTAAATTCTGTTAGGTTACATGGTTAGGTAGCTTTTTTCATGGATTGCTAACTTTCAGTGTAAGATTGTGCTATAATTGTTCAGATGCTAATAGTCAAAAAAAGGGGTTGAATATATAAAAACAAAAATAGATAAAAACTAAGTATATTTAAAAGCATGTTTGTTTTTGCTTTTTATTATGCCAATCACAATAAGCCAACACTAAGACCACCTCCACGTTATTAACCTAACACTATTATTTTTATAATCATCAATGACAGCATTATTTTCATTATAATAATTGGTAAAATTAAAACAAAAAACGTTTATAAAATGTCCCAATTACTTCAATTTGTTGCAGAAAAAAAAATCACTTAATGTAAATATATATAAATATATATATATATATATACATATATATATATATATATATTTATATATATTTACATTACGGTCTTTGTATTGAAAAATTCTTTATTCCATTAAGTGAAAGAGATCAACGTTTCGGTCCACGCAGGGACCTTCCTCACTTGATGTCACTTGATCCTGAGGAAGGTCCCTGCGTGGACCGAATCGTTGATCTCTTTCACTTAATGGAATAAAGAATTTTTCAATACAAAGACCGTGAGTGCAGCCCTGACTTTTATATTCCTTTGGTGTTTATCTACATCCCCATCAGGACTGGCACCCGGCAAGTATACTAAATGCTTTAATGCACAAGAATTTTGAGGGTGAGTGCAAGGATTTGAATATTTCTTTGTATATATATATATATATATATATATTTTAAATGTCAGAGATACTAATTGGAAAAATAATATATTTCCAATATTAGATATAAAATAACAGATGCAATAAATATCTTGTAATACTTTTTTATTGGACTAAGAATTTTGGAATGACAAGCTTTCAGGGTAACTTCCCTTTCTCAAGTCTAAAGCATTTCTGAGCAAAAACAACACATGGAATTAAAAGTTGAGTTGTGATACTTTGGTTAAAGCAACATGAGTGCAGATAAGCGACATGTTGCTTTCACCCCAGTATCACAACTCAACTTTGAATTCTTTGTCTCATGTATGGACAACAAACAATGTAGATAAAATGATTTAAACTCAATTGTGAATGTTTTTCCACGTTAGCTTAAGAATTTTATATTTTAATTGATTAAGCAGGAAGCCAGTGATTTGTTTTGTGGTGGGGAGTTGTAGCAGTGGAATGACGATTAAAAAGATGAGTTGGTTGCAGTGGCGGATCCAGGGGGGGGGCAACGGGGCAATTGCCCCCCCCCGAGAAAATAGTGCAGCTGCCATCAGTTGAGCGACCTCATTAGGGGCTCGGTCGGGTGCTGCAGCCCTTTGGCAGACCGGGCCCCTTTAAAGTTGCAGGGAGTGCTGGGAGGAAGTGACTGTTACTTCCTCCCAGCATACAGACCGCGCGGGCTGAGAACACCCAGGATGCAGCTGGGAGAGAAGACACAGGCAGCTGGGAGAGAAGGAGGAGGGAGAGAGAGAGAGCTCTGCAGCTTCAGACTCCCATCAGGCTCAGCCAGCCTCAGGAAGTCACCTTCCTGCAAAGAAAAAGGTATTTAAGCAGAGGGGAGAGGGGAGGGTGCTTAACATTATGGAAGCTGCAATTTGTGTGTGTGTCAGTGTGTATGTTTATGTATGTGTACATCTGTGTGTGTCATGTATGTGTATCTGTGTGTAGTGTGTATGTATGTGGACATCTGTCAGTGTGTATGTTTAGTATGTGGACATCTGTGTGTCAGTGTGTATGTTTAGGTATGTGACATCTGTGTGTGTCAGTGTGTATGTTTATGTATGTGGACATCTGTGTGTGCCAGTGTGTATGTTTATGTATGTGACATCTGTGTGTGCCAGTGTGTATGTTTAGTATGTGGACATCTGTGTGTGTCAGTGTGTATGTTTATGTATGTGGACATCTGTGTGTGTCAGTGTGTATGTTTATGTATGTGGACATCTGTGTGTGTCAGTGTGTATGTTTATGTATGTGGACATCTGTGTGTGTCAGTGTGTATGTTTATGTATGTGGACATCTGTGTGTGTCAGTGTGTATGTTTAGGTATGTGGACATCTGTGTGTGCCAGTGTGTATGTTTATGTATGTGGACATCTGTGTGTGCCAGTGTGTATGTTTATGTATGTGGACATCTGTGTGTGCCAGTGTGTATGTTTATGTATGTGGACATCTGTGTGTGTCAGTGTGTATGTTTAGATATGTGGACATCTGTGTGTGTCAGTGTGTATGTTTAGATATGTGGACATCTGTGTGTGTCAGTGTGTATGTTTAGATATGTGGACATCTGTGTGTGTCAGTGTGTATGTTTATGTATGTGGACATCTGTGTGTGTCAGTGTGTATGTTTATGTATGTGGACATCTGTGTGTGCCAGTGTGTATGTTTATGTATGTGGACATCTGTGTGTGCCAGTGTGTATGTTTATGTATGTGGACATCTGTGTGTGTCAGTGTGTATGTTTAGATATGTGGACATCTGTGTGTGTCAGTGTGTATGTTTAGATATGTGGACATCTGTGTGTGTCAGTGTGTATGTTTATGTATGTGGACATCTGTGTGTGCCAGTGTGTATGTTTTAGATATGTGGACATCTGTGTGTGTATGTTTAGATATGTGGACATCTGTGTGTGCCAGTATGTATGTGGACATATGTGTGTGTCAGTGTGTATGTTTATGTATGTGGACATCTGTGTGTGTCAGTGTGTATGTTTAGGTATGTGGACATCTGTGTGTATCGGAGTGTCAGTGTGTGAATCTGTGAGTGTTAATGTGTATCTGTGTGTGTACCACAGACTACGTCGTCCACTGCACTCAGGTTCCGCTTTTCACTCTGGTCCACAGCCTCAAAGGTGCTCTGGATTAGATAGACACTGCTAATCCGTCCAACAATACAAGGTTATAGAATATACAGGCAACACACCAGGTACCGAAGGTGTATTTATTCGAGGGTAGAACACCACATAAAAGTGCAACTTTTCAGCCCTAGAGGGACTTAAACATGATTAAGGCCCCCAAGGGCTGAAACGTGTTCTACCCTCCAATAAATACACCTTCAGTACCTGGAGTTATGCCTGTATATTCTATTACCTTGTATCTGTGTATGTGAAGGTATGTGTGTCATTCTGTGTATGTGTAGGGATGTGTGTGTGTGCGGTTTCGCAGTGTGCATGTGTAGGTATGTGTGTATCTATGTGCCAGTGTGTGTGTGCCTGTGTAGGTATAGGTTTGTATCTGTGGGTGTGCCAGTGTATGTGTCTGTATCTGTTATTGTGTTTCCATATCACTGTGTGTGGCCGCATATGTGTACAGCCTCTATCCCCTAAACAAGAGTCCCCTATTCCTCCGCTGCAGCCTGTTTCACCCCGCTCTAGCCCACTTAAGTGCCCCTCCCGAGATTTGGTTCTGGATCCGCCCTTGGTTGGTTGGTAGTTTTAACTGATTAAAGATAATTTTGCAGTGTTCGGGAAGGAGTGTTAAAGGCGTGAATTAATATCTTTTCCAAAATAAATTTTAAAAATCAATAATCCTCACATTGTAGTCATACTAGGGAAATAGTAATACCATTAATGGTGAAGCAGCGTTTGAGGGGTGTAAATCAATGGAAAGGAGAGGATTAGCTCAGTTTTTCAAAGATTAAATTTCAGGTGATGGTGGAATATCTAAGAAGATGAGACAGAGAAGAATTATAAATAGTTATAAGTTATAGAAGAGAAAAGCACAATTGCTAAATGACATTCTAATTATTAATCTGTGTTATTAGTTCATTATTAGGAATATATAAAATACCTCTGTTTTCATTTCAACAAATACATGTAATTCCATAAATTGTAGAACACTCTCATTGTACAGTGTAGTATATTGGCTTTTATAACTTATTTTGCACTTCCATGTAATTTATTTTTTATTGAAGAATTCCAATTAATGGCTTCCTGGTGATTTTAAAGCCTCAAATTATCAGTCTATGAAAACAAAGCAGAGAACATAATTATCATAAACGAAGAATTTTCCATTTGAAGCTTATCTGTTTGTGCTAAGTATCTTGTCTGTAAGTAATTAGTGCCTTTATTTCTTCAGTAAAAATAATGACCATTCCGTAGATCCAAATTTTGTTAACTACTCGACATACCATAATGTATGTATATTAAATTTTAGCATATATCGACTAGATTGATTTTGTAAAAAGTTAAAATAAAAAACATATTTCAAGTATATTTTGGTTGTTAAAACAAATGAATTGATTTGCAATAACCACATTTATATTTTAAATATAGGCAGTTATTTTTATATGCGATAGATAACTTTGTCGCTTCCTCTTTTGTGGACTCCTTTTTCCATGAAACTGCAATCCTCAATGGTTCTACGAGCCATTGGAAGCATAGCCATGATTACAACACACCTTGGACCAACATCTAATGATTAAAATGAATACAATCTATCTTGCACTTGTAACCCCTTAACACAGCCAAACACGATTGCCCGGGTATGCAGCCAAATGTGTGTGCATGTATCAGAGGGTGTATATATGTGCATCAGTGTGTGTATGTGTATGTGTATTTGTGTGTGTATGTGTGTCCAAAGAGGCAAGATGACTGCAATGTGAGCGTGATATGGTATCGGCAATGTCAGGATAATGTGACAACATATACAATATACATGGTACAATATGTTTAACAACTTAGAACTCAATGCATACGGGATAATGTATATGTAAGTGGAGTATAGACTATGTGGGAAAACAGTTTGTGCTACTTTAGTGTACATTAGGGGAGAACCTGCTTCAATGCATACTATTCTGGAATCCATTTAGTTATTATTATTAAAATTCACTTTGTTATTATCATCAAAAGTCATTTTTTTAACTTTTCGAATTAAACACAAACATGTGTTTCTATCATTTGAGTGTTTTTCTAACATTTTAGAATCTTACCCCATAATAGGATAAGTAGAGAAGATTTACTCACCTTTGGTTCCCTTCAACGCTGGTCTCTCCACAGCCACTGCTCCACCCTGGCTGATGATCTCAGATAATCCATTGTTTTCCCATAGTGAAGCAATGAGGGCTACCGCTCATATACAGCATTTCCTCATAAAGATGCATTGTGTGACAGACCGTGACTTTCACTTTAGCACCATGGAACTATGCGCTGAATCGGAGAAGAGCCATAGCTCGCTAAAACTTTGGCTTCCATTCAAATCGGTCCGACCAACTCCCATCCAAGTGCTTTTTATACAGATTGGGTGCTTGGGGACAAGCTATCCAGGGATACCACACGTGTAAGGGAGCATCACTGTTTTCTATATGTTTTTAAGTTGTTTTTTTGTGATCCAGAAATAATTGTATTAGCGTCTGGGAGTTAATTAGTTAATTTGTTTTTTATATTTTAATACAAAAAGCATTATAGCTTGTTTAAGCCAGATATTTCTCCATTGAAATCAATGTTTGTAATTCAGAATGGTACACCTCTTTGTATACTTGAAGTATAACTGGCTTTGTTTATGCAGGTATGTCAGCTTTTATCCTAGCTTTGTGCTATATCTACTCCTATAAATGAGATATTTATCTTTTCTCCTTACATGTAGCCCCAGCTCTAGCTTCAGTCAATCACCCACCTGGAAAGTTTATTTCTAGGATAGCTATGTCAATTTTAATCTGTGTCCAACATCTGCATTTCACATGCACAATTTAGCCAGAGCTCTTCCAGGGGACATTCTGTGCAGAGGCTTGGGAGAACAGTTTTTTCCTAGCTAGGGTAGGGTCTGTTTTAGTTATAAGATGTACCCGAATTGAGCCGACCTCCAAATACACCTGTTTAATTATATACGAAATAAGACAATGCTGCAACTCTGTATACTTATAACAAGCGAGCCGATCTATGGCTTGCAACATACTGGCTGATTCATAGCAATATTTCTGTAACTCTGTATACTGATAATAAGCGAGCCGGTTTGTGGCTTACAGCATACTGGTTAATTTACAGCAACGTCTTTGTAACTCTATATACTTATAACAAGCGAGCCGATCTGTGGCTTGCTACATATTGGCTAATTTATAGCAGTTGGTAAGCACGGCATATTATAATTGGGGTACAAGATTTTGGTCACTTTCACGGCTAGCCTCCCGATTGAACCACTATCCAATTTGGTATATGCTGCCCTGATATTCACCCCAAATATCCCAATAGGCTCACCATTAAATATTACTCTTATCCCTGCGATCCTTGAAACTAATATTAGCACATTTCTCCTGGACCTAGATACCTAATGAGAGACTCATACTCTCAGTTTATTTACAAACGTCACTTTAAGAGTGTCTTCTTGTGTACATGTAACCAGGAAGTGTGCTACGATACATATTCTCCTGACAGTGTCCACATTTCAGCAACCTCAGACCCTGATTGATATTTTGTTGCAAATAGTTGTGGCAACACTATATTATATCTATCTTAGTCTGTATTACCACATTGGTGGATAGAGTATTGTGTGGACATTGCAGCCTTGAATATTAGCAGTTGGTTCTACTTTACTATATTATATTATTATTTTTTTCATTTTTGTTGCTTTGTACTTTATAATCACATTACTTGTTTATTTAGTATCTCCTTTCCCTACAGGGGTTAATAAAATTATAGTTCTTTTTTGCTCTTTTTATGTAGGCACTCTTTTGTCTGCTACTGGCAGAGCAGTTCATAATAGGTTATTGGGACAGATACTGGGAGCGCTGTCTAGTTAACCCATTCCAGTCTCTCTTCTTTTATGATAATTCTGGGTTATGCCCTAAATTCCCTCTTTCATCACTGTTGTATTTGTTATATAGATATGAAATTAATGAATAAAATAAAATGTTGTTAAAAATAAAGTATGATTTGTAATCCCAGGTTTCAATTTAAATGTTTTTTGGTTTTTTTTTTCAGTAAGGATCATTATTGAGTTTCTGTGAGCAACTACTTTGATATAAGACAACATTATACTACATATATGTATACATATAACTATAGGATAATAACAATGTATAAATGTATAGTTAAACTTAAAATCACGCTTTGATTTATTTTTGTGTTTTTGGCATTTTCAGTGTTGCCTTACGAACATCGTGTGTGATATCTATTTCATAGACATTAATAGTTAACAAATAGATCTTAAAAAATGCCCAAGAAGTATAACCTGTACAGCACGTTATTATTAATAGTTCTATTCTATTCCCCAAGGCAAACAAATTGCCTATAAGCAATTTTAATAACAGACATATAGAGGTTATTTTTTGTTGTTGTGTTTTATAATCAAATATAAAGCTTACAATCACATTTGTTTGTTTTACCTGGAGGATTATGTACCATTTTAATTGTGGCTTTCGTAAACTGATTTTTTGTAATTAAAGACTTGCCATGTTCAAAAGTCTACACTTTATATAAAGTTTTATTAAAGGTTTGCAACTTGCTAGTATTGCTCCAAGAATCTAGAATCCTGCTACTGCAGTAATTTTATTAAACGGATGTTTTATTATATTGCACATAATTCTAAAATTGACTGGGAGATAGATTTTATTTTGTGAGTTTTTAGGCTGTGTTCCAGTAAAAAAAAGGCTTTCAGGGACTTTCAGAAATGTTCCAGGATCTTATTTAGATCTTTG